TGGCGCAGACAGGTGCCAAGGGTTCGCTACACAAGCGGAGTGTGAAGCTAATTCAGACATCTGTGGTTGGCAGGGGTTGTGCGCTTGTCCTGCGGAGTTCTTTGGTGACCATTGTGAAAAGGAGCGAGTGCAATTTCACGCGCACAATGGTCTCTGCCTCCTGAGGGAATCGAACACAGCTCTGTGCAAAGGGTTGGTGCTGGCAGCCAGTCTGAACGACCGTGAATACTGCAACAGCGCGCAGGATTGCACTACTTGGGACACAGTGAAGCGCATGGTTGGCATAATGTGGGAAGCAGAGCTTGGTGACATCATCGTGGATAGCATTGCAGTGCTGTTTTGCCTTCTCGCTATTCCCTTGAGGTGGCCAGAAGATGGCCAAAGCAAAAGCAAACACGTGGGAAAGTACTTGTTCTTAGCCGGCTTAGTTTGCTTTGTCGCCGATGTGGCCTTGGAATCGGTGCTGGTTCACTTCGTCGGAGGAGCGGCTGACGTCGTTGCGGAGCTGGAGGCGTGCGTAGCATGTCTTTTAAGCAGTATGTAAGGCTGGCTAAACGTTAAGATTTTTTCAGTCCCTTGCAAAGGATGGTGTGCATCTGGGTTTTCACGATGGCGACATCGCGTTACCAAGTCCGCCCCATCCCCTCCGCCCCACAAGCACAATCAGGACCCTACCTAGTGGTAGAGGGCAGAACCTCTTTCGGAATTCAGAATAAGGAAAAGCTTGAAGGGGCGAGGAGGCGTGCAGGGGATTTTGGAGGAGGAAGAACCCTTGCCCAAAATGCTTTCCAGGCTTCCAACAATTTGAAGGGGGGTCTTGAGAGCGGGGACCCAGCATTGCGACGTTATCATTACATGGCGTGATTCCATTGTGGTCAGGCAAGTTTGTTCTAAGGGTCCTTGCTTGCGAGATACAAGCAGTGATGGGGTTGGCTTGTTGCAGTATCGTATCCCTGCAGGGTGCTTTCTGTTTCTCCCGCGGCGATGCTTCCAGATCGTTGGTGCTGCTTGAGGATTTGGCGGGCACCATTGCGACGTTTGCCTGGGTGAACATTGCCCTGGCGATTGTCGGCGGAAGCTGTGACGTGATACAAGCTTTCATGGACACGAACCCTGGACTCATAGCTGTTGTGCTCACGGTCGTTGCGGCAGTCTCGGAACTTGTTCTAGGTCTCAGCAACTTCTTCATGAACACCAACGAGTTTGTCAGCATTATCAAAGAGATCGAGCTGGCCACATTGGGATTAGCCGAGATGGAGGAAGGGCATGCCTGCTACATGAGACACCCCCAACTGGACGAACTGCTTCCTGCTGAGGCTGTTGGAGTAGAGTGGATCCATCCTGGTCTCACCGTTGTCATGCCTGCGGTCTTGGCTTTCATGAGCTTTCTATGCGCCATATGCATTGCCTGCCTGCGTGCACCCTCCTGAAAGGCAGCACTCTGTGGTCATTGCCTGCCATTCACATAGCGTGGGTTGAATTTGAGCAGCCGTCTGTTTTGCAAATTGTTCCACTTATGGCCAGTCAGCGAACTTCGGGCAGATGCTGGCGTTGACCTATTGGTTTCACGCAAGGTCGGACTGCCGTGTTACGTGGCAGTGTGGCAGATCATTAAAGAGGTCTTTCATTTAAGGTACGACGCGCGAATGCGCGATCCTTGT